TTGAATGTTATGAAATAACTATATGAATAAAAGCACAGCATTTCGTTTTGTGTACGATTTAACATGTATTTCTTGAGGTAATTAGCACTTCTACACCTTAAAATTTGATTTTAACCTGGTTTTGCTGGAGTAAGTCAAAACATGAAATGATGGCACACGCCTTGCAGGTTTGTGGTAATCCCGCAGACAAAAACAATAGAAGAGTCTGGCAGTCTGGCACTGGACGTCAATTTCCGCCATCTTTGGGCTTTAGCTTCGCTTTTCTCTTAGGCCTAATGACTGATGTTCTTCATACTCCATATATATATATATATATATCGTGAGGCATCAAAGGTAACTGTAAATAGCAGTTACTTTCATCCTGCTCATCAGCACTACACTGATGAGGCCCATAAGGCCGAAACGGTACCGTCTGTAGTTAGATATCGCTCTATGGCCTTTAGGGTCATATTGAGCGCTCTACAGGATGAGCCATGCCGCTTACGCATTGCGCACGCTCACTGCTTGCAGTTTGAGCGTTCTGGCATGGTTTTGATGTCCCACAATCGTGAGGCATCAAAGGTAACTATAAATAAGAGTTACTTTCATCCTGCTCATCAGCACTACACTGATGAGGCCCATTAGGCCGAAACGGTACCGTCTGTAGTTATATATATACATATATATATATACATACATATATATATATATATATATATATATATATATATATACATATATATATATATATATATATATATATATATATATATATATATATATATATATATATATATATATATATATATATATATATATATATATATATACAGGGTGTATCAAAATAAACGCGATTCATCCTTTGTGCTTAATAACTTTCGAAATACTATATTTCTAGTTAAACGCTTTTAGGCTTATTTCAAAGCCTGTTCTTTTCTCTTTCAAACAAACTATTATTCTTGTCTCCAATGCTAGTAATAATTGCACAGGAAAAGATTTAGTAAAACCTATCATTTTTAGTTGCTGTTTAATTATGCAAGTTTACTATGTTATTGTTTAGTCGGTTTAAATGTTAGAATTTTCTTCTTTAAACTTTAATGTGTCGTCACTACATCTGGAAAACCACGTAAGAACAAATTAAAAGTATTTTAAAAGAGACCAGGTTGTTTGAAAATCCTAAACGAATGCTAAAAATCGTCAAAACATTCTGGTGTCTGAGCCAGAGTGTCATCGAATTGCGATGTAATGTAAACAGAAATTATAGCAAGTTGATGTCAGTCAGCTTAGATGGTCCAAGCCAAAATTATATCGCATTTGAAGTTTCAAACTGAGTTAAAATAGTGGAAGAAAAGCCGTAATTATACTTATTGTTACAATCCATTTAATAAAATGCAACATTTTTTTGTTTTAATGAAAAAATCAGTTATTTTCATGAGAACGATTTGTTATTCCATCTCAATTTTTTTAATCTCCAATCGCAATAACGTAAAGTATTATTACCCGCGAACCAATGAGTCAAATTTAAGAAACAACCCACTGTTAGAAAGCTGAATGGCTACGCTTTAAAATGAATGTAAACTTTAACGTTTTCGTCTATTATTTGTTTAGCAATTTACATTTCAGTCGAGGATTGCGCTTTTTTTGATACACCCTGTATATATATATATATATATATATATATATATATATATATATATATATATATATATATATATATATATATATATATATATATATATATATATATATATATATATAGGCCGTGAGCACCCCTCGTGTAACTACATAATTTTTACATAAATGGATAGATTAGAACTTACTTAGTTAGAATCCACTTTCTCCCAAGCGAAATAGTTGCACAAATTGAAGTACAACCTCCCCAAAGTACAGGCTTCTTCGAATTTTGAAATCCGTGAACCGCCATTGTTGTGTTGCAAATACGCATGCGCCTGACCACAAAACACTTAATGCGCACGCACAGATTAGAAAAACTGATCTCAATCCAGGATAGGACAAACCTGGATAAGAAAAAAATTATGACATGTGCGAAAGCAGGGCTGAAATAAAACAAGATGACATCGAAGTGTTTTAAAAATATATCATATATTTATGGTCTGTGCATTTGAATGGAGTTCGCCAAACATTCTGAGGCCAGGAACACGTCCA